GACATTTCTTGCAGCTCATACAGTGCAGTCGAATAGTGAAGTGAGAAGTGAGTACTTCACAAAATAAACGTATGTTTATGGGGGAATTACTGGGATTTTTGTGTGTCTATCAGAGGGAAATGTTGTTTAAAAGGTGAGTAAAGAAATAAGTACAATAATAAGACAAACATTTCATTTAGAACCTTTCTATTTATGGTACTGTTTTCCTGTTTTATTTTCTATAAATTTATTATTTAATTTTTGTGAATACGTATTCCGATAATATCTTTCAGATAAGCTTTCCTTCGCAATAAATGTATCTCCGGCCACGCTTATTAACTTAAGCGAATGGCGGCCGGCTGTCTGTCGTAAATCAGACCCCCCTTCCCCCTGGTTTTTTTCAACCCCCCTTCCCCACCCATGCCACTTTTCCCTGGGCGCTTGAAGTCTCTTCTCACATATTTAAAATAAGGAGAGCAAAAACCAAAACAGAGAAAAAAAGAAATCCCAACAACGTTTTGCATAAAAAATAAAGCACCGAGTCATGTGTGTGTGACATCATATCGTATATTGTCGCATGAATTTACGTGACCATATGTTGTCGCCGGAGCGCATAAATTCCAAGTGGAACCCAGACGGCTTCTGGGCCTCAAGAGCCGCCCTAACCCTTTGCCACGCCCCCAGGCCAACCGAAGTGTTGATATTTCGTTCGATGCCCGTTTGACTTCAGCAAGTGCGAGAAGGCCACAAAAAAAATGTGCAAAAAATATGGGTGAAAAATTTATTGAATTTAATTTGAATGCGCCCAATGGCCCCCGCAACAGCTGCCACTTGATGGGGTCCACATCCGCAACTCCATTTCGCATCTGCATCTGTATTCGTATCTGTATCTGTAGCTTTGTATCTGCACATCATTCCTCATTCCGCCTTAGATGCCGAGGAGGAATCGTAGTCCATATGAATATTTAAGCTGGCAGAAAGCCACCGCCCGGCGAAAATTCAACAGCCGCCTCCATTCGCAATCGCAATCGCCTAATGAAGCCGCGCAAAATTCGTTTTTAATTGCCATCGCAAAATCCCGAAGATGGCGGCGGGCAGAAAAATTTCGTTTTAATTGCTGCCCGGAATCCCGGATCGCCGAGACTCTCGACCAGAAATATTGCCACTTGTATTTTTTAGCCAGCGCACGAGGAGTACAACACAGAAAAAAAAAACAAGGAAAAGAAAAAGAAAAAACTCGATTTTCCAGCTAATGGATGAAGGCAGAATTGTTGCTTTCGGAAGAGCCAGGACCAGGAGGACTGGTACTCCGTACTCCGTACTCCAAACTGATACTGATACTGCCAACCGAGAACGGGAATGGGAATGGCAATGGGAATGGGAGTGGGAATGGGGATAAAGACTGGGCCCGAGTTCGAGTTCGACATCGGCACAGCAGCCAATTAAAGGCATGACATAAATCCAGCTGTGACTTGTATTGGGTGTTTCCGCCTGCGGCCCACATTCTCCATCCCCAAACCCCCCTTTACCTTCCCCTTTCCCTTCTATCCCCCCTCTCAGCTTGAATCCCCATTCTCCATTCGGACCGGCAAAAGACAGCGCCAAAATGTTCAAGATTGTTGCGGGCCCAAACAAAACGGAGAGCGGAAAAAACGTGGCAAAGGAAAACTTTGCCCAGCCAAACCAGGCCGTTCGCTTTTCCATGCTCACGCCCCTTGTTCCATTGTTGTTACAATGTTGCCTTTTCATACCCTTTTCAAGGGTATTTAAAATTTAGTAAGGATTTTGCCAACAGAATTATTAATTCATCAAGAAATATACAGTTAACTATTCCTCAGTTCAAGAGCTGTTGATATAAATGTGCTTCAAGACCAAAATAAGATATTTCATAGAAACCATAGAAAAATTAAATAAATTCCCCATTTCATGATTTTATTTATTGATATTTAATTCAGCAAAGAGCATTTAAACTTCTATTTATCAATTTAAACTTCCATCCTCGTTTTCGGATGGGTTTGGTTTGGTTTTCCAGAGTTTTTGTTGCCTGTTTTTTTTGTTGTATTATTGCATTGCACGAGTATTTTTCTACTTGACTTGGCACCGACGCCCTCGCCGGAGTTTCAATTGTTGTGCGCTTTCCTTTGGCATTGCCTTTTCTTTTTCGGTTTTCCCTAGCAAAACATGCACTTCAGCCCAACTGGCAGAAGAAACCGCAGCTTATGCTACCACTCTTCCTCCCAAAAAATAAGAAAATACAAAAAAGAAATGTCAGTTTCCCTCGGGGGAATCCACATTAAATTTCTCGAGCGAAATACCCGCCAATTCCGAGCTGCGAGTCCAAGTTAACTAATTTATGTCGCAGGACTTGGAATTAATGAATAAATGGCGAGGGCGCTTAGACGGATGTTGTGGGCTGGAAATATGCAAATGCCCCTGGCAAAAAAAAGCCCACCAAAGGTAAATAAAAACAGTTAACAGAGCGGCCAAACGAAACGAAAACGTTTCGGATCGAAAGAAAAGTAAAGAAACATTGCCCACACGCAATCTTGAGAGGGCAATGAAAACTTTTGTCTTACAAAGTGAAAATTCCGCCCCGATTCGTCTTGAAGCAGCTGCCAATGGCTTCGCCCAGAGGCATTTGGCCAAAGCGAAACTTTCCGAAGAAAAACCAACGAAAAGTTTTCAAGTTATGAGAGCGATGCCATAGAAGTGACATCATGAATATGGTAAACAGACCATCAAATTAAATATATACATTTATAATTGGGGGGGGTGATTGCATCAAAGCTGGGGTGGAAATCGCGTTGATATTCATTTAACTACCAGGGAAAATTAAGCTGGATTTGGTGGTAAATATTTTATAATCCACTTGTATCCTGAAGAGTTTAAATTATAAGTGGGAACTCAAAAATAAAAGTTGCCATGTTATTTGAAACAGAGATATTTATTAAAGTTGTCACGAAACAGGAGATAAAGTATACCATTTTTCTTTTTTCATTAACTTTATTTTTAATCGTATTTCTTTAAGAATATTTAATTCACTGTTTGTTTAACTACAGTATTTAAAAAGAGAAGCCTGGAAACTTGCAGCTGGGAAGCCAATAAAATGAGCAATCATAATTAATAATCATAATTAATATGATTTGTTTGCCATTGCGAGGGGCGCAATAAAAATGCCGGGCGTAAATCGAGAAGAAGAGGGTTCGAGAGATTTAGAGGGTTTTCCAGAGCCCACATTGGGTGCTCCCATTCCCCCCGGAAAAGTTCGGCAATTAAAATGGTTGAACACATGACGACAATTGGGGAGGAAGGAGAGTTTCGGTAGCCGATAAGCGAAGGAGAAGAAGCTGAAGTCGCAGCTTGGCATTATCTTTCGGCAAACAGACATGACAACGAGGAACAAATAAATCGCATAAAATATAATTATGAAATTTGTAGCCCAGTTGGGGGAGGCTTTCTCGGTGGTTTGGGTGGTTGGGCGGTTGAGTGGTGCTCGGCGATGCGGTTGCACCGCCTTGAGTTAATACACGGCTGTAATTAACTTGTGATTTATTGGCCCAAGTTTTTAGCGGTCTCTTCTTCGTCTGCGGGTCCGCTTCATTTGGCTTTTCTTTTATTTTCCATTCATTCCATTGGTTTTATTCTTTCCTAAGAATTTCCCTTTTTGCCACTCTGCCCTGCTCTACGGTTCGTTTCGGTTCGGTTCGGTTCATTTTGTAAACTTTCTCCTGCTTTATTCGCAACAAAATGTCTTGGAGAATAAGGCTAATTTATAAGGAGTCCGCCTCCACGAGTTTTTCCCGCCCGTCTGGCCACCGCATCCGCCCACCTTTAATATTAAATGTTACACCAGGGACACATTTCGATGAAATATTTCGTAAAAAGTGTCTACTAGAGAAAAATTTGTTCTCTCTCTCTCTCTCTCTCTCCCTCTCTCTTTCTGTGTGTTCCCCGGATTTCCCATTCTGCCACCTTACCTTTCTCGGTTCTTCCCTTCCAGAGTTTCCTGCCAGAATTTCCCTGGGCCATGCGTCTTGCTCAAGTTGCTGGCACAAAACTTTCTCCTTTCCTTGGGGCGTGCCACGCCCCCTCACCCGCCTTCATCTCCGCCCCGCCCACTCCTCACGCACGTGGCAAGAGGAAGAAAAGCAGTAGCAAAAGATGCTGCCTTTGTTTTACCCGAAAAGCCGAAAAACGACAACGAGGGTGGGTGGATTTTTCGGGCCTGGCCAAGAATTATTACCGACCAAATAAGCGATATTTCTCGAGGGATGAATGTGCTTTGGTGCGTGTTTTATTTTATTTCGTTGAGTTACAATCCACCATCTAACGGTACACCCCCGAAGGGTGGTGCTACTGGGTGGTTGTGGGTCGAGTGTGGGGGTGGTGCTGTGGTGCGCATGGCTGCCGCCGAAAAAGCGGAGGTGCAAGGGAAATGTCGAATGCGAAATTAAGAAAACATGGCAGTAAAATTGGGCAATAAATCATTGGGGGGCCTCAAAGTGTTACTTCCACAATGTACACAGTTGGAATTTGTTTAGCTACAAATTATATAGATTTTGCAACACACACTGCGACATATGCCGTTAGTGGAAATGGTGTGGAAAACTGATTGGCAATATTATAACCGAAGAAAATTGTCCTTGTGCGGGGAAGGGGGTTCGAAAAAAGAAGTAAACAGTTAATTAGCAAAATTTAAACTTATTTATAATAAGAAAATAATACTTTTATAAATATAAATATTTTTTAAATATAATGTAGGGGCATAAAGGAACCTAAATGATTTCCTTTTCCAACTAAACCCCTTTTATTTTCCATTCACAGGTTGTAAGTCGTCTGGCTGCAATGGTCAATCGAAAGGCAATCCCCATAATTCCATATCGCTCACAGCTATTCCATCCTGCGATGCGTGTGTGAGTGTGATTAAAATGGCGATATGAATGCATAATAATATGAGAGTTATGACCCGTCCAGACCCCTCCACTCCCCCCCCCAAACTCCCCCTCTTCCCAAGTCGGCGCATAAAACTGCAGCAAACTAAAGTCCTTCAGCACCCCCAAAATCCCCCCTTTCCCGCTTTTCATCGCCGGGTGAGTAAGTGAGCTGAACTTTGATGCCGCCACATTCTATTCGCATTTGCGCTCCGACTACCTATAGCCATATATCTTAGTCGGCCGGCCCAGGAATATGTGTGCTGTGCACTGCAAGAAATAAATGTGGGTACTAGAAAATGATTAAAAACCAATTTAAGGTAATTTGACTTTACTACTAGTGAGTAAGGTTATGTTTCAGATTTTAAACCTTATAAAAGCAAATAGAAAGAAAATCTCACTAAAATTTCTACCTCAAAAAACTGATCCTGTTTAGATCAAGTTTATGAAGTTTTACCTTTCAATATTTATAATATATTTTTTCCAACTTATCTAATGGATGTTTATCTAGTATTAGGGCTCTTCTTTACTATATTTTCTTTTCAGTGTACCACAAGGACTAGGACTCTAGCACCGACTCGCTTCAGCGCCAGCGGGCCGCCTGTTATTTTTTTGTCCGTTTGCATTTTGAGCGAGTCAACGGCGAGTACGAAGCCGAAAAGCCGTAAAGCCTTGCCTCTAGAGTTTTGGAGAAGGGGGCTTTTCCAGGGGAAGGGGGAGGAGGAGAGGGGGAGGGGGTAGGAGGAGCGGGGTTTAGGCGCAGTGGCAAAGAGTGCCGCCCTGGAAGATTTATGCAGTTCATATTCACATTTTCCAAACGCCGCATACCAGAGACCCAGCATTCGAAACGCACACGGATTGTGTGGGGCAAAGGGGAAAAAGGGGGCGGGGGGAGTGGCAGGACACAGCACGGACACTGCAATGTGCATATGTGTTTGCCAGCCTATATGTGTGTGTGAAGGAGGGAGGGAGGGGTAAGTCCAGCCGCAATTGTTGGAGCTTTTTTGGGCGCAAAATGGGCGCTGAGCATTGCAGTTTGCAGTTTTTGTTGTTGCGGCTTGAATACAGTGGATACAAAATTCAAAAGGAAAGGTTTAAAACTCTAAATCGGTCATAACCAAAGGAAGTCAAACGTTTTAAATAAATGTACTTAAATTTTATAAAATTTCTGCTATAGTCTCAATTTGAACAGCAAAAGTCTTATAACAAACTAAGTCCCATTTATAGTAAACTTTAAATCACTTTTTTAATAGTTTAATAAAAATGGTTTTCTAATGCTGAAAGTTTAATAACATTTTTATAAATTTAAACTTCTTTTTTTATTAATTTTCGAAATATTTTCATTTATCATTTCCATCCCAAGTATTATCAATTCATCTAAGTGTTTATAATTTTTCACATTTCACATTTTTATAGCTCCCAATCACTCGATTATCCCACCGTGGCTGGTCTAGCTTTTGGTCGAGATCAAAGCCTGGCAGATGGGATGGCCAAAGAGGGGAAAGGAGGAGAAAGGGGGGTGGAGTCTGGTTGGTGGAGCCCGGCTTTGGTGGATGACTGCAGGCCCGGGTCGCCACCGCTCGTGCAAGTGCCGGAGCACACTGCATATTAAGTTATTGTATATTAGGTGTTAAATCAGATAAATTTTCGCATAATACCGCATACAGCACTCGGATTTTCAAAGATTAACGTGGCGCACACACACACACATACACACACTCTTGCACAAAGAGAGATTCGAGCCAGTTGTTGTGGCCGCTGGATTCTCGATGCTGGTTTGCTGGATGCTTTTGGCCTGGCCATAACCGAACTCAACTGGGCTGTGGCTGCAGCAATTCGGAGCTGTTTTAATCATTTCAATGCTGCACATTGTTTTCACTGGGAAAAGGGGTGGAGGAAAAGGGGGGAGGGGGAGGGAGACTAAGGGGGTTTGCATTGCAGTCTCTAAACAGTGTTGCAGTTTATTTGCATCGCTGGACGATGGTTATTTGTGGGCCTGTGCAGTCATTGATAAACTTTTTGCACCGACTTTCCACAGTTTTCCCTGGCTGCATGCAATCCGCCCAGGCTTTGTTTTCGTAGTTAACAGATTATTAAAGCGAACATAAATTTATGCAAATTATTAATTGCAAAAATCGGTCGAAAAAAGAGTTTTGGAAAATCGAAGCCCATGAAATTGTCTGCTTGGTGGGCTTCATTAAGGCCGATGTTGTTGCACTCGTCGTTATTTAAAAAAATAAATCGCAGCGTTATTAAACAAAAGCTATTGTGTTTTATGAAAAGCGCATAAATAAAAAAGGCAAAAGCCAGCGCAGCGCAGCTCTAGCAGCAAAATTTATTATGACAAGTTGCCCTGGCACTTTTATCTCTCCACACACAAATTTCTGCAGTCAGCTCGGACAAACAAACATACAAACATACAACATATATAAACGTATATATTTTTTGGCATTTATGCTGTTGTTGTTGGCCTCGTATTATACAAAATATATGCAATAAAATGGCCACAAAACAAACTCTGCTCTAAAATGCTGGATGCTTCGGCAGAAAAACTAACTAGAGTGCACAACTACACACATATGTGTGTGTATATATCGTATATCCTGGTATCTGGCTGAAACAAAAACTTGACCATGGCCAAGTGGATTTGACAAATAAGTTGGTAGGAACAATTCGCACGCCCAGGCGGCCATTTGAGCTTAGTTTTAATTAGTTGAGCGCTGGATGCCCGGGGAAAAATCCATTATTTTAATGGTAAAGGAGTGAAAAATACAGCAATTTATTGGACTTTAAATGAAATGTTATTTTCAGATCGGGATTTCAAGATAATAAATGCTTTAACGAACTGTGGGAAATTTATGGGCCATGTTGATAATCTGTCAGATATTTAAATAGATTTGCAGGAAAATAAATGTAAGCAATAATTTAAAGTGCCTCAATGAAACTCAATTAATAATAAATTTGCCTTTTAATTTATGGTAAGTAATTTGAAAATATTTAAATAAAAGGTAGGGTAGGGATAATAAATTTACAAAATGTAATATTTATTTTAAAGTCGCTTCAAGTGAGTTCCTGATTTAATAACAATATTTTTACCAAAGACTCCACCTTCTAAGCGCCTCGCTATTTAATGGAAAACCAGATTAGGTGCTTAAAAACCGGAACGAATTCCGAAAGGTAAGGCATTTAACTGAAATGAAATGCGTGTTCTTCACCCACCCAAATGGTTAAGTGGCTAATCCACCGCCCAGATGATTGAACGCCGAAGGAGCGAAATGAACAGACTTCTATTTATTATAAATTTGCAATTTAAGCAACAAGCCACTACAACAGCGAATTATGCACGCCGAGAGGCAGTCGAAGTTGATTGCAGTTGCACTTGGTCTGGAAATCGGGGGATTGGCGGGACCTCGGACAATTTAGACCAGACCGACATTGCATATTTTCGCTTCCTTCGCATGCGAACACGGACCCTGGCATTGGCCTGGCCAAAACAAGAACAAGAGCCAAGGCGAAGTAAAGGCAAAGGCTTAGGGACAGGGACATGGATGGGACACGCTCCTGGGCGCGTGAAAAAAGGAACGAGCCCCGATGACCATCGCAATGCTGATGGGAACACTGCAAAACATTGTTTTTAATAAATATTATATAGCTATCTTTATTATAAAATCAATCAGAGATTTTTTATAATGTTAAAATGCTCATAATTTGCAAAAGTTATGCAAGTAAACCTACTTTTATCTGATGCTAAGATCTTTTTCTAAGCAATGAGCCTTTTAGTTGTTACCTTCCATAACAAAAAGTGAAAGAAACTAGAACGATATTTATATTGGATAAATATTTTTATAAATTGAAAGAATGATTTTAATCTTTAAACGAGGAAATCCAAAAACCCAAGAGGATGAATTTTAAAACATATGCTTTTTTGTTATACAATTTGTAATACTTTTTCATTTCAAGAAGTATTAATTGAAGCCAATTTCTGATTAATAGATCGTTATAAAAAATGAATTATTCTTTTTTTAAAAAATGTAATATGAGGATATCATAAAATATTTATTTTTCTGACTGAAGACTTATTTTGTTGTATTTTTTGTTCCCTGTGCAGATGAAAAACACAGTCCGCTGCGACTGGTCAGCAGGTTGCTGTTGCTGTTGATTTGTTTTGGCCGGTTGTTGTTGTTGCTGTTGCAGTTGTTGTTGTTGTTGTTGTTCGTGTTGTTGGTGTTGCCGCTCGCCGTGTTGCTGTTGTGCGCTTTCAAATTGCTCGTTGCCAGTTTGCCGGGTGAGTAAAACGATTACCCGCCGGCTAGGAGGCTCGCTTTTTGGTATGTGTTGGAACAACTATTATTAACTTGGCCCACTGTTGTTGCTGCTGTTGCTGTTGTTGTTGTTGTTGTTCCTGTTGTGCTTTTTTTTACAAGTGCAACGCTTTGCGGCCATTGTTCTGCTTTGGCTGGAAATTATTATTCGCATGCCAAAATGAATTGAGCAGCCGCTGCGGACGCGGCAGAAGTTTGTGCGGCATGCAACATGTTTAGTTGGCCCGGTACACATGCGTTTCGGTTGTAGCCCCTTCCTGCCTTCCTTCCTTCCACCGCTCAAATTGCCCGGTTATTAAGTAAATTGATTTTAAGTATGTTTGGAAATTATTTGCCTCTAAATGTTTTGCTGCTCGCATTCGTCGCAGCTGCACTTGTCGATTTTGTCGCGATAAGATGCTCAAATTGATTGTAAACATTATACTCTATTTGTTGGAATTTTCTCTTGATTTTTATCGGAGATTATAATACTTTAAAGCGAATCTATCACGATAAGTAAAATAATTGTTGCAATTTTTTCTAGATTTTTATCGGAGATTATAGGAGTTTAAAGCGAATCTATCACGAGTAAGTAAATTAATTGTTGGAATTTTCTCTAGATTTTTATCAAAGATTATAAGAGTTTGAAGCGACTCTATCACGACTAAGTAATTTAATTCTTTGGATTTTTTTAAGAGAGTCCTGGCATTTTATAATAACCCCTACACATTTATTACAATAATATCCACGTCCATATTTTTCTAATTGTTGATTTCCTGCGCTTGAGGAATACCAAATAGCATTTCTTGTTAATTCTTTTCTTTTTAGCTTCTTAATTGAGTTTGAATTCCGATGTTAATGTTGTAGAACTTTCTTCAATTTTCCCATTCAGTACAGCCCTCAATTTCCATTAGTTCACCACTACTTCTTTGGCCTTGCCCACCGACGATTCTCATGCATTTTCTATTAACCGATGTTAAATTTAATTTAATTTAAAACAACACGGCCCAAACAACATTATCGCAATGGGCGTGCGGCATGCGAAATGGTAATAAGCGGAGCGTCTGACGGGATGAGGCAGTGGCAGTGGCAGTGGCGGTGGAAGCCACAACCTGCTCGCCAGTGCTCCTCCATAAACAGTGCAATTAAACTAATGACTGTGCTTAGGCCCGCTCAGATCGGGAATGGCTAACGGGGGGTACAAAAAGGCGGAGGCAGATGCCTCATAGACATGGCCGAGACCACACGCAGACTGCTTGGCCAATACTGGCCAAACCGGCCGAGATCGGCTTTTGGCACTTGCGCATATGATTAACCCGTCGACGGGTAACTCAACCACGTGGATTGGACAGAAGGCAGAAGGCAGAAGACAGAAGGCGACGCTCTAATGGGTCGCCAAAAGATGCAGCTGATGAATTGCCAGCCAAATGGATGGCCATGGTCAGGAGTGCCAGTTGGAGAAGTAGCAGCAACCACTAACCGGTTTTTCGGAGGGCAGGTAGAAAAATAAGAAGCCAAGCCAAGCCAAGCCGGCTTCTCGGTGGCGGCTTTAATGGCTTCCGCCAGCGATCATAGGAGTGAAATAAATGGCCAGACGCAGCCAATAAACGTCGCGCGTTATGCCCTGGCTCTTTCATCGCCTTGCCAAGCCAAATGAGTTAAGAACTGTGGACAGTTTCGGCGGATTTACGACTCTCCGTTCCATTCTGCTCTGTTCTGTTCGGTTCTGTTCTCTGTGTTGGCGAAAAAAAGGAGAAAAACCAGATATCCCAGGAAGCCAGCCGCCAGAGAAAAAGCAAAACAGATAGGACATTCCTCGTTCGTAATAATACAGTTTGCATTATAGTGCATTAAATCTGTGTGCAATTTACGAAACATATATATTGCCTAGGCACCCATCAATCAGTGGGCGATTTTGAAGGAATTGACCTCTGTCCGTGCTCACAGACGATCCCCTTTGGCTATGCAAAAAAAAAAAAACCAGAAAACAAAAAAAGAAAAACCATCCACCGTCCATGGTCCGTTGGAATAATAAAAGTAATCGCTCTTTACCCTTTAGGGTTAGCGAGTGCAGCAAATTGCGAGCTCAGTGCGCTTTTCTATAAGCATAAAAATTGCTATAATTTGTTGAAAATTACATTTTATACATAACCACCCGCTGCCCGCTCGACCGTTCGACAGACCCACAATTTATTCTCCCTACCTTTAATCAATATGCGGACAATATGGGAGCACTAACTATTATCCCAAGATGGATTGCAGTGAAGGGCTGGCTGGAAAATGGTGGAAATGGGGGGAAAATAGATGGATGGATGGTCCGAAAGTCTGGAAATGGAGCGCACCAATCAAAAATATTGAAAGCCATTTGATCAAGCCATCAAGATTGGCGAGGAAAAAGTTGCCTGGTAATTGTTGGTTGATAGTTCAAGGTTTGGATTTCGAATAACCTTTAGTTCTCGCCTCCCGGGAATTGAAAGCTAATTCTGTTTTTCTAACTCAGTTATCTCAGTTTTTTTTGCTGCCCAACATTAATTACCCCTTTCACGAGATTGTGCAGCATATGGCCTTTGAAATTTATGCAAATTGCTTAATAAAATGTTGTCGACAACAAAATACATTTTGAATAGACCAATATGAGACCGAGGGGCGTTAGTATTTGGCCATTTATGGTTTTGCCTCCGGTGCAACCCCTTTGATTGTCCACCCCGAAAATGAAGGGATGGATTTTTCCTAGTCACTTGATATTATAAACCTGCTGAGGCAGCTGAGTTACATTTTCCCGAGCGCGGATCCAATTAAACTCTAGTTTTTTCCTGGCTGGACCGTGTTTTTCCTCATAAATTGTGCATTAACCTGATGCGGCGTAGCGCCGTGATAAATCGCGGTAAACTTTGCTAGCAACCCTCGGCCGTCGAGCAAACTCACGTGCCACCCCCTTCGACTGGATTCCTGCTCCCGTTTGCTGCCTCCTTGCGCTTCTGTGCCGATTTCAGCCGAAAGATAAATAATCTGCTGCCGCTCCACCCAGACGCAGTCTCATATTTGCGGTTTTCCCTTCTTTTTGCCGCCGCCGCGAAATCCCCGCAAGCCACCCACTTTGCAGCCGCACGAACCTGACTTCTTCTTGGCATTTTCGCAATAAAATCGTAATAAAACACATTGGTCACGTAATTTCGTTTGTCTGTGGGATTTTATTGCCATTTTTTCGAGCAATTTTAAATTGTTATAAATGTGACGGGCGATGGCCCGGACCCGTGTGTTTACTCAGCCAACCAACCGGCGGGCCGCACTTTGCGTACTTATATATTTATGATGTGGAAAATATCTCGAGAACTGCACACGGCCATTCCGGGGCAGAAATCGATAATGATGATGGTTGATGGTGGGGATCTGCAGAACATTTATCAGGATAATTACACTCGTCCTTGGGCAACTTGCGAGCCAAATGAACGGAGCACGCCCACAGTCATCGGGTTTTAACCCCCATCCGCCCCGCTTTTCCGCCCAACACCCACTAAACTTTCACTGGCCCAAACACCAAAACACCCGCACAAACGACAATTAAGCAACAAAACTTTGATAAATTGCTTCCTTGCTCGCATTTTATGAGTGGAAAGTGGAGTGTGGAGCTCAGAGGTTGGGGGGCTTCTTTACACTAATTAAGGGTCTCGGGGTTTCCTGCAAATATTTGTTATCTGCCTGCCACAAGCCGAAAGCCAAACAGGGAGCATCCCCAGCAGCCAGCAATGCCCAACAAAGGGGACAGTTTTGTGGCGCCACCGGCGACTCGGAATATTTTTGCTCCATTGAGCAAAGTTTGCCATAAACTCGGAATAGTTGAAATTGTTTTCATTTGTTCGAAACTCGAATGGCAAAACAATTTTTGTGACCAGAAATATTCGAAATAAGCAATAGTCGTGTTTACTAAACTTAAATATGTAAGCAAGTTGAAAATTTGAAATTTAGGAAGGCAGAAATGTAAAGGTACAAAAAAGAATAATTTATTTAATAAAGTGCAATATCTGGCAGCAATCCAATTTCTGTAATTATGGTTATATTATCTACAAATATGAAAGATATTTATGAAATTGAGGAACCCTTAAATTTGCAGCTCTTATGGCCTGTGCAAATATTTATTTATTAATAAATTTATTGGCCGCACAATCCATGCAAAGTCTTTGCCAACAAATTCTTGACCTCCCCCGACGCTAACCCATGCGATGAGGAAGAAAAACTTCGCTCGCCAATAAAAATGATAAAGTTTTTTTTGCGGAAATATAAAATTGAATTATTGCATGCAATTTAAAAACCAACAAAAGCTGACAGCAGTCGCAGCTAAAAGCCAAGCGATGTTGGCCCACCAACAACAACAACAACAACAGCGTGGATTGCCAAAAAATTTGTCAAAATAATGGCGTCATTCTGCAGTGGTCGCCGCAGTGGTTCTCTTTGGTTTGGGATTTGGATTTGCTTTCTGGTTTGGGATTGGAATCGGGGGCGGTGAGCCGACAAAGACGCCACAAGGATCCGCCAGGACATCCACACACACACACAACCAACCAACCAACACACACTTGGAATGGCGACGCTTTGGTTTATCCTTTATCCTTATGCTTTTTTGCACATTATTTGCTTTTGCAATTCAAAGCGATTAAGTGTCTCCAGTCTCGCAAACTCGCAGCTCGGAGCTCACTGCTCGAATCTGGAGACTCCGGGGTCATTAGGGGCGACATAAAACATGTTTTTGTTGCAGCGGCCATGGACTATGGAACCATATAGAATATATGGCCCGGCTAATGGCAAAGTCGTCGAATAACTCAGCCCCCAAACGAAAGTCGCAAAGGCAAAAGGGCTTCGGATTGGGATTGGGCTTGGGCTTTAAGGCCATTAGTGCAGGCTGGCCAGCCTTCGAAAAATCGCCGAATAAAAAAAAGAAGCATAACAGTGAGCCCATTTAATAGAGCAATTATGAGCAGTTGAGAGTCGTGAACAGTCGACCGATGTCGGCCATATTTCAAAGTGTTTGGCCGTAACTAATTAAGCAATTAATTTCCGAGCAGCGGGACCCGCAGCCGCCGCGGGGAAGTTCAACAAACTTTTGGTTGAGAAAAATTATTTACAGGCCTTGCCACTCCACTCCACGCCACTCCGAACCGATCCTCCGGCTCCGTGTGGCGTAATTTAGTGAAATTATTTATGTTCTGGGGGTCCAGCATCCCGAAAAACCCTTTTTCACATGCGTGCGCCGCGCAGTATGCAACAATTTCTGCCGTTTGCCGCTTTGGCCAGACATAAAACACGTTAAACGCCCCAAAAGCCCGAGGGTGTGAAAACTGGAATCAAAAAACCAAACCGAGGCACACTGAATATTTATGATGCGATTAGCAGGAGTCAGGGGCAGTGCCACTCCACTCCGCTCAGCTCAGCTCAGGTTGCAAGGAGTTGTGGCATTGGTGGCACTGCGAGCCGGGAAATTTACGTGGCCAAATAAGAAGGCTGCCAATTAAGGCCGGCAGAGCGCGGAGTGCTCGGCATGAATATGTAAATAAAAAGAGGTAATAAGTGGGTGTTTAATAACCGGATGCCTTCCCCTTCTCCACCACCCCCTTAACCCCCCGGCAAGCCCACAAAAAAGAACAGGAATGAAGGAAAAAAAAGGGAGAGAGAAGCCACTTTGTCACCCAGCAAAAGGTAAAAAATCAGTAGGCAAGGCAACAACAAAAAAGGACCAACCAAAGGACCAAAAAAAAGGTAGCTTGTTTAATTTGCGTGGCATTTGCAGCTGCCTGCGGCAAAAAGATAACGAAAATAAAACGTTTGTCGTCCTTGTCGGTTTTTTTTCTCGGTTTTTTTTTTCATGCAGAAGAGCAGAGAAAACGAGCTTCCGAAAATTTGTAGAGCTGTGTAAACTAATTAAACTAGTGTGCAAAATAAATTCCCACCGAAATATGATTAAAATTTAATTTAGCGAAAATAATCAAGCGCACTTTGATTAACTCCGACCGGTCATTATGTGTATTTAAATGGGCGGCATAAATACGAAAAGCATTCGGGAGCACGGCACATTAAATTCATTAAAATTCAATTAAAAACTGCGAATCAAAAGTGGAAAAATCGAATCAAAACTAATAATAATCGAGAGTTAATGGCACCGCCAGGGCGACTGCGATAAATATATGTGTGTACCAGTGCCATGGGGATCGAGTGGGTGACAATGTGGTCCGGCATTTATTCATTCATTAAACGCAGACAATTAAGTGTCAGGAATTTTGCAGGATCATAAATTGTTCAGTGGGTGGTGGGTCATTGTGGATAAGGGGGCGTGGGCAAGATGGGTTGACATTGCCTTTTGTCAGGTCAGCTGAAAATCTACATATGCACTGACCAAACAACTATAAAACTATGTGAGCGCACGAGCTTCGCACGGGTTGGTGGGAGTTTTTGGGAAATTCAATTTAAATTTTCCCTCTGTGGCGGCCATTTTACAATGGCCGCGACTATTATGGCCTCGCAAAATGGTTGCCACCCCCCGAACCTCAGAGCGAACCACCATATGAGTCGGCAAAGGGGGTTGGCTAAGCTGACAATCGGTTAATTGAAAATTCTCCAGAAATCAAATTAGGGAATGCCGGAAAACTATCCCGGCGCTACCAGGAAAATATTGTCGAACATAAATCCAGCCGGCACACAAACATCAATCTTGCCGTGATGATTCTGGCTCAGTTTGGTCAATGAGTAATTGTTATATTGCGTGGAAATTGGATTCGGGTAGATTTATTGCTCGGCTTTCTTTCTTCTTAAGTGTGAATAATGGGATTAGGTTATTAAGGCTCTGTGAAGTTTTTCGAAAATATTTTAAGCTTTCCTCTGTGTTATTTAGGCAATACTTTGTTGAAATAATAATAAATTCATTCAAACAATCATTCATCATTGAAATTGTTGAAATATTTCTTAGAACATGTCATACTTATAAAAAGAAATTTTGTTTTGAAAAAATTAATAAACATTTATTAATGAAAAAATGTTTGACTTGAAAGTACTTTTTTGGCAGATTAATTTTGTAGGAAAATCAATTGTAAATAATTTTTAAAATGACACCTCTATTCATTATAATAATTTTACAGCTTTAAAATCAAATTAGAATTGCCAAAAAAATACGTAGTCTAAAATGTCTAAGTTGGTTTATATTAATTTGTAAAACCGCTTTTGCTTTCCCAGCTTCCGTCCGCCGATTTTTCCGCTTATCGATGACTAGGAAATGTAACTCATGACGTGTCCTAGGGCTTATTTTCCACCCACCGCCCTGTTTTTCCGGATGCGGTGTGTGTATGTGTGTGTGTGAGTGTGTTTTGCTCGCAAGACATCAAATTACTTTCGTATGCAAATCAGCGGCTTTTCTGCAGACTTTTTTTGTGCTGCTGCCACACGGCAGCCGACAGACGCCGTTCGAGGGAAAGGGACGGCAGGAGAGCGGGAGGGGAAGTGGAAAAGGGACGGAGACAGACAGTTGATCGGCACCAAATTTATCTCAATGATATGCAGATAAAACTAACAAGTACCAACGTTTCTTTTTCATTCCGTTTGGCTTGCTCTTGCTCCTTTTTTTGTTTCTCCCGCCCTCTTTGCTCCACTGCACTTCTCCAGAGAAACGGAGAAGGAGAGAAAAAAAGAAGCTGAGAAACTACATTAGCAAATAAATTTATTTAGCATTACAAAAAATGAGGTAGCTAAGTGGCTGCCGGGAAAAAGAAAAAAATCTGAAGGGATGGATGTTTGGGGTGTGTGGGCGCCATGAATTTATTTAAGATACTTATTGATTGGATTTGATTTCGGGCTATGGGAAAGTAAACTTGGGCAAATAAATTTAAATGGGGGCGTTGAGTTCGCCCGAGGATTTCGAGGGGTTGGGACCGCCTGAAATTTGCAAGTTTTTCTGCTTTTGGGCTTTGCCAAGCACGCATGAGTAATTTTTCCAATTTTTGTTACACATCTTTTGCTAATCCGGAAAATTGTTTTTCTTCAGTTGCTACTTTAACTGTTGAATACGTTCGTTTTATTATTGTATTTATTTACTCACTTTGTCAATGCTTTTAGGGAATTTTGGGTATAATAAATGTTTGACACTTACCTAAAAAAGAGAGAAGGAAATAATTTGTTTAGTTTAAAAGGAATTGTAAAGAGTTAAGCTATATAAATATTAAAATACATGCATATATATTGCATTAAATGAGAAAATCTTAAGTTTTACCGTTTCAATTAGTTGCAAAGCCATTTTTCAGCAAAGAAGATTTCAAACATAACTACTGCAAGTTTTCATTCGCAACTTTTGTGTAATTGCACGAAATGAAGTAATTTAAATAAAAATACGCCCTCGCAAAGGAGTAAAGTAAGTTAAAATACCTTAACGACCTTTCTGTTAATAACGCAAAGTGCAAATGTTGCCGCTGGCCACCTGCAACCTGCAACTTGCAACGTGCAACTGCCCCACGGCGGCAATAACAATGTGTAACTGCAGCAGCAGCAACTGTGCAGCGCCGCACGCAATTTTCATTTTCCCCGTGTTATTAAGTGATAATTGAATTTTTATGCCGCCAACTCCGGAGCTCCACAGCCGACGAAGCTCCAAGGGCCAAAGAGAAAATTGCAATTGCCACCGTGAACTCTGAACTGTGACCTAAAGTCACCGGAATTGATTTCTCCAGCCATAAATCACAGAGTCATGTGCCAATTTCCAAGCAAGGCATGTAACGCACTTTCTAAACATCTCAAAAGGAAAACCTTTTTACCTTTTGCCTTATCCATTGTCGAGCAGTTTTTATCGGAACAGGACAAACAAAAAGATATGAAATATTCGCTGCAGCTGTTTTATGACCAGCAGTCGACCTTTTTTTTTTTTTGCCAACCGCAGACTGTGCGAAAATTATGAAAATTCATATTTCTGCACGCACTTGGCTGTGGATTTTCCCTACCTGCTGCTTTTCGGTGACAAAAACAAAGCCAGCGGGCGGTGCGCCGTGAAATTTGCATGCGTCAATAGAATTTGGGAAATTTTGCAACAGTTGCCAAAAAAATAGGAGTTTGATTTACTGCTTCTGCAGCAGGGATCATAAATCCCGCTTCAAATATTTTGGTTGCTGCGATTTCATGCCTGCAAATTGCAATTGCATTTAATTCTGCTGCTGCCTTTTTTCCGGGCCAAAAAAAAAAAAATAAAAATAAAAGAAGAGAAAAGGAAGACGAAACTCGCACACATTTCATGCGGCTTCCACAAAAGGTAAGAGCCCAAGAGACCCAAACGACGACAACGAAAAGCAATTTACGAAAAGCACGCAGCGTTTAGATCAAAAGCAAAGTCGACGACGACGACAATCGCCATTTGCCACAGGCGCTGGACCAAAAGGGGGGTGGCAGGGGGAGGGGAAAAGCGGGGAACGGGGAAGGGGGGATCTCCTTCGGACAACGATGCTATACAACGCAAAACACATCATTAAGTATAAAATTCTTAAAATGGAATTTTAAATCATTAAAAGGCAGCGGCGAAAAAAAAGCCAGCCAAGAGGAATTCGCAATGCGTTTGCTTTATTTGGGAGCTGCAACAGCAACAACAGCAACAGCAACAACAGCAACATCAGCAACGGCAACATGCAATGGCAACAATTCCTGCTGCCCAGTCGCATTGTCCAAAATGCTTGAGGTCGTGGCAACGCAGCAGCAACATCAGCGCCGGCATGCAGCGTTTTTTTTTCAGTCTTTTTTTACATTTTTTTTATTTTTCTGTATTTTTTCAGCGCTTTTTTTATGTACACGCCAAGCCAAACAGCTTGAATGGAAGTAATGATGCTGGCCGAACGTCGCCGAAACGAAGTCTTGAGAAAGGCGCGCAGTTGGGCTGCATTTGCAATGAGTTGCCGCTGCAGCAGCAGCAACAGCAACCGGCAACTGGCAACAGCAACAGCAACATCAACCAGCAACGGCAACGGCAATGGCAATCAGCAACATGGCCGCCTGAGCAGCAAACGAAGCTGAACTGCCATCGTTGCTTTTATCGGCGTTTTAGCTGCTGCTTTTTTCCCCCCTCCTCAACCGAACCCCCTTTTTCGTACCACCCCCTTGAAACCCCCGCCCCTGTGGAGCATTCTGGTCGCTCCTTTTGGTAACATGTTGCTGCCGTGCATTGCATGTTGCTGCCGCTGCACGAATTCTATGTTGCACTTGGAATTTGAAGTAAATAATTCTTAGCTGTTCGCTTTTGCTTTTGAGCATTTTGCAAGTGCCTGCTCTGCTCGTTAAGCATTTTGGGTGCGATTTTGTTGCTTTTTATTTGCTGCTGATGTTGCTCATCATGCGGCACCCAAAAAAATAAAGCGAGAGAAAAGAAAAGAATGAAAAGTGGTTCCGTTTCGTTTATCTCATGCTTCGGCTGCATTATATAACACACTTTATGTGGGAGATGTTTTCTTTATTTAAGCAGAGTGAGTTTAAGATTGATAAACTCGAGTGAAAACTAAAAGAGGAGTTGTGTTTAAGTATCCACTAAATTAGGTTGCAAAACATAAAGAATTAAAAGTATTTTTAAATGGAAAAGTGCTTTAAACTTTATAAAAGAACTTTAAAAAAGAAATGGGAAAATAGAAACGTTAACTCCAGAATCCTAGAATATTATTTGGATTTCTGGTGGATATTAATAATGGAAAGGTTTGATATCTTTTTGTTTCATAAAATGTAAAATGTAAGAAGCAAATTGTTTAAATTGAATTTAATCATTTGGAATTAATTGTATTAAATCTATTTGTTAAGATGATTCTTCTCCCAGTTTTGGTTTGCTTTAAGTGGAAGTGGTTATTTCTTTTGTGAGTGGTTGTGTTTTGTCCACATGGCCCAAGATTTGTCTCCATTGGAACCCGCATGCTCGCACGATGATTGACAATTCCCCAGCCAGCAGACAATGATCTCGGAGCCGAATCCCCACATCCTCCAGTTTTTCCCAACGAGCTGCCAGCATCCGCCAAATACTCGACATTGCTGGCAATCAGACAAGCCCAAACCGCTGTAAGCCATAAAAGGCAACCTCGCTTTTGGACTTCTTTCAGCTTCCCTGCTGTTGTCTGTTGTCTTTTCGCCACGTTTGTGTTTTTTTTTTACCTTTTCCGCTGTTCCCGTTTTGGCCTTAACTCCATCTTGCGACATTTGCGAGCAAATAAATTCAATTTGCTGCTGGTCAGAGGGAACTGCGACAGGATTTTGTCGCATTTATCATCGCATCAGCGACGACGGAGGACGCAGCTCCAAATGAAACGCCATTTACCAATTTATTTATTTATATAAGGCGAATATATTTTATAACCCCAAGAGCAAATGCAGCCAGCGAGCGAGCGAGCAACGAGGAGGAATCCGCCGGCAAAAAATGTTGTATGAAGTGACCAAACTAGTTCGTTAAAATAAATTCGAGAGCCACTAACAATGTTGAGCGGGACGAAAGGACGGACTTTCTGGATGGGATGCTGGATTCTGGATGCTCGATTCTGGATGTTGGATGGACAACATGCAACAGAACAGTCGGTGGGGCAACATCAGCAGCAGCATCGGTGCCTCGATGCCTCGATACCCGATTCCCGATGCCCAGTTACTCACTCCACTCCACTCGACTGCAAAGTCAACTTGTATCGCCGATGTATGCGGCATGGCGAAGATGTATTCCTTTTGGGATGTTTTTAATTTTTCTTTAAAGTCGTTAAGCGACGTCGTTCGTTCGTTTCGTTTGGTTTGGTTTCTTCTTGTTGTAGTTTTTTTTTGCTCCGTCTGCCATCCTGCCACCTTGCCCCTCAGCCGACTCCTTTGTGTTGGCCTTCGTTAGCTGCCATTTGCTTCCTTTGCCTTTCTAATGGAGTTTCGCAGATAACAGAGCCACAGCGAACGAGGTCTGCTCCTGCATAAGCACACACTTAGGGGTTAAGGGAAGGGGGAGGGGCGAAGGGGGGCCTGAAAACTCGAAATGAAATTAAACCCTTTTCGACGGCAGCGGCTGCTGCTGCTGTTGCAGCGGCAACATGGCAACATGGCGGCTTGCTGCAAGAAATTAACATTATTGCAATTTCTGCAGCTTCAAACTAACAAGCCGAGGAAACAGAAAAAAAGGAGAGGGAATGAGATACTCTCCACCAGCAACCTGCAGCCGATTTCGAATATAATTGAAGGAGCCCGCGAGACGTGGCAATAAATTTAAAATCGTTTAGAAAATTAAAGAAATTGCTGGCTCGTATTTCCATTCGAGTTTTCCCATACCCGTCCAAAATGGAAATGCCAACAGTTGCGAATGGGAAAACAACCAAGGAGGAGGAGCAAGTGGAGCAAAACAAAACAAACCTGAAAGCTGAAAACTGAAAACAGAAAACAGAAAAACCAAACAAAAGAAGCGAAAATGCTAAGAAGTTTTTGCCATTGCCGTCGACAGGCGGCATATGCAAATTTTTTACCAGAATGCAGTTAAACTTGCGAAGGGCCAAAAAGGGTTGATCCGGGGGGAAATAAAGGATAGAGTAATGAAGATACTCCTTAAAGAATATGCTTCGCTGTTCATTGCCTTTACTTAAGCAAATATTTCAGTGAATTCCCCCTCGAACGGCCATTGTGATTTAAGATTGCGCCACCGAAAAGTTTTCGTTGTTTATCGCGAAACTTAAATTGGTTAAGTGCAATAAATATCTTTAAATTATTTGGGTATTTATTTTTGGTATACTTGCACTTGAAATCTATTATTCAACAACCTTAAGGATAATATTTACTATTATAATCTGATATAGATGTAAGCAGATATTATTTGAATATGTTTTGCTTTATTACTACCGTTCTATATTTTATTTGATATTTCATAAATTTTTTTCTATATTTCAGCTCTTGATTTTTGTACTCTTAGAAACATGAGAATTCTATTTCCTTTAACATAGCTTTAGGATTAATTTTTCCACTCAGTCAGGATAGATCGGATCGGATCATGGGGTTTATACGCCTCAGCATTCAATTCGGGGCTCAGTTGCAGTTGACGCTTTTCGCATTCGCATTCGCGGCTGCAGCTGCCTGCTGTGTTTGTGCAATGATAACAGACGGCTCCCTTAACCCCCCAGTGGCCCC